AAAGCAAACACTCTTTCGCAAGATACGCCATTATCTGCATCTCTTCTTCCGGTGCCGGCGCCCTTTCCAGCGCCCATCATGGTCCTCGCCGGAGCGACGCCACCGCCTCCGTCGCCCGTTCCGGTGGCTCCACCTATTCTGAACCAATAGAACTCAGCCACGTCATGTGGTCTCTGTGTTCCTGAAAAGTTTGTAAAAAATTGAAAAGCTAAATCGACTCGAACAGGCGCCCAAAAAAAAACTCTTGCAAAAGCACCCCAGTACCAATTGAGCCAAGGTCGATTTTAAGAAAAGTCTTTTGAAAATGTATATATAACAGGAAAACAAGTGTCGTTTTCAGTGTTTATACTTGTTGGCTGTTGCTATAAACATCCTGACTCCACTTTATCCAAAAAAAGAAAAAGAATTCCAAAGTGATTCCGACAACTGTTTCATTGGGTTGGCACCACTAGAATCTGTTCTCAGTTTCAGAAGCCCATACTGTTTTCGAATTGATAGAATAGCCCAAGTATTATGGGCCTATCTTAATAGATCAATTTATGGTTTAAATGATTTTTGTCACTTTATTTTGTGTATTCCTCTCTATTTTTTTTTTTACGAATTACCATTCATATGTTTTCCATTGTTATAGCAGATATTTTAGAAAGAAGTCAATGGAAACATAAATTATATTTGAATCTACTTATATTTTGCAATAACATATACATAAATACACCATTTATTTCCACAAATAAACTCTTTATATTTTAAAATTTATGCATGAACACGTTCATAGTCACAGAGTTCCGTCCGTATAAACACTGGTTGTAGCGATTGACCTCATCAGTCACTAACATATTAATGATTTGCTTATGATCCCATTTTAAAAATGATAAAAAAAAAATTAGCATCTGGTACAAGAGGTAAAGTATCATTCATCAGGTAATGCAATATATATATATAAATAACACGAAGAAGACAAGAAGAACGGCGAAAAAATCAAGCTAATAATCCTCAGAAACTGACGGAAGCCAAACTCTCTTGATCAATGCCAGACAGAAGAGCAGTTTGTGGGTTTGAAGGAGATGATCTTGGAGACTGTGTCATAACCGATCAAGAAGTTGGCTTGGGCTCGGTAGCCGAATATTGGAGGGTACCCCTCTAGGGCCGGGACGATCCTTAAGCAAACCACCCCATCATCCACGTTATCGTACGTGTTTGATCGTCCCAAAACGAGATCCGCACCAGCAAAGTGCATTGTTATCACCGGAAAATCCTCGAGGTTGCACGGCGAGTAACAGTTCTTACCCTGGGGATTGGCTCCTTTCGCTCTCATCGCGACCGTCACCGCTTCCTTGACGCGTTGGAAATAGTCCTCCGACAGAATCAGATCTGTCGTTCCTGAGTCTATGACGATGTTCCCATCCTTTGAACCCATCGAGGTTCCCGAGGTCTCGACCCGTGCATCGTCCACGCTCACTGCCTCTAGGTTTAGGTAGTAGAAGTTCGGATGAGATTTCTTTCTGTAAAGCAACGTAGACATGGTTCCATGGCCCGAAACGATAGCGTTTGCTCCGAAGTTGATCTTGCTCGTCTTGGCGCCTAAACAATAGGAGAAGAGGCCTTGGATTCTGTCTCCCATCTGAGAGACGAGGGAAAACGGTCCCCAATCGAGTCCAATGACCCCTGTCCCGTCATCAGGGTTGTTACTCGTGTTGTTCCGACCGCAGCCAAAGAGGGTTCCGATCAGAGAAAAGTGCGGGCCAGAAGTCAGACCGAGGGTGAACGTATCAAACCCAACCGACCCGATAGAGAAGGTCTTATCCCCGTAAACAATTGTGTAAGGGCAGACACTGTTCTTATCACCGTGACAGTCGGTGGCTCTGTTAACAGTTTTGCACTGCCTTGAGCCGCAAGGAAGGTCTTGGTAGGTGGAGGAAGCGAGAGGGTTGAACTTGGGATAATCTTGCGGGAAACATCTGGCGCAAGGCAGACACTGCGTCCAGATAAGATCGCTCCCCGTGTCTGCAAATCCCAAGATCTCCACCGGCGGCGTCCCGATCTTTATTTTCATCAGGTACCCACCCAGGTAGCTGGACACTGCGTCGGAGTACGGCGACCGGGTGGGACGAAACGATCGCATGCTTTGGTAGGGATTGCTGTAGGGGGATGGCGTTCTGATGGAATCGTGGTAGATCAATTCGGCTGTGATGCCGTCTTGTGGGGCAGCGTCTGCGGCGAACAGAAGGAGAAATGCTTGAACCGCAGAAACGCAGAACGCAAGAAACGCCATTCTTATGTGTGCTCAAGAGAAGAGCTGCTAATTGAGTACGAGTGAATTGGTTAATAATCCACCAACTTTACTTATATATATATATATATCTATATATGCCTTTTTTTGTGCATTCCATTTAGGAATATTTCTATATTTTTAGGTTGAAAAAAATATTTCCATTTTTTTTAGTGAATTGTGAGGGCAAATTTTAGGAAGTTTGTATTTTATTAATTTCTTCTTCAACTTTAATCCGGAAAAGGAAATATTAAATACGGAAACTTTTAAGCGGAAGTAAATGAATCTGTCATATTATATATATATTTTTTTTCTTTTTTCAGTTTGTAAAAAACACATATTTCTCATTCGATTAATGTTCTCTCGATATTTTATCAAATCCAACAAAATCTACATATATTATTTATTTACTTTTCCATTAAATATGCCGTTTTATTTTAGTTTGTTTGTAGAGCTGGGAGGAATTAACGCAAACCTCAACTTAATTTAATTGGTGAGAAATAATATTTGTTTATATTTGATTTGAGCCTACCAAACCAAATTCCCCATCATCCGCGAAGTTCATTATTTCTTGATCCGGTTAAAACCGCCATCACCAAACCGATAACCGGTTCAGATTTCAGTAAGTTTCAAACCGATTCTGATTGTTAACGAAATTCGGTAATAGGACAAACAACTAGACTGAAAACAATGCTTAACCGGTGGTGGAGCACAACTAGCACAAGCATAGTCTCGGGTCAAGGAATCGATGCACAGTCTACCAAATAAATCAACCGGTTTGGAAGGGTAACCCGAAGAAAGAAGCTTGAGCCAATTACATTGGAGGTCATAAAATGGAGAAAGATGAGCTTATACTTTACAATTACAAAATATTTTTTTTCACCATACCTGAATTTTCTTTCGGGTCCAAAGACTTTCTAAAACCTTTTTACCTTTTAAAGAACTTGAAACATGATATGAACGTACATAAACATAATGTTTTGTTGGACCAAAAATAAAAGACATGGCTTTTGCAAAAACTCTTGAACACTTTTAGAAACTTGCTGTACAAGAAACATACATGAGAAAGAGATGACGAAAACGACAAAACCAAACCCTAGCACCATGAAACCCCAACCACAGGCTTTAAATTATCTTCTTTCTTTTTTTTTGCAGAAACAATTGGACGAGGCCCTTCTCTTTTTATTTGTTCGCAGTTTTTTTTGGCTTCTCTATGTACTTTGAGTTGGGGAAGATGGTTCGATCAAGACCGGCGGCCTTACATGTGCCACGCAGAAGGATTCGAACCGAGGCTCTGTCAGATCGACCGCTTCATCTTCGTTATGGCTGTTCTTCTCTCTCTTCTGGTCGGAATATGGCATCTACAAGAGCAAAAACGAAAAGGGTAAGGCTAAAGCTTTAGCAATCTTTCGAAAAAAATTCCGCCATCACTCATCTCGATCCAGAGAGTTTCGGTTTCAGATGGCATTCTCTCGAAAAAGGCGGTTCCTTTTTTCACTTCAGAACGAAGATCAGACCGCCAAGTGGTGAGAATAGTAGTGTGCATGTACCTGGAAAAGATTGGCGGGGAAATTTCTACGTCTGGATGTTTCGGGTGCGATGGTCGAGAGGATCTGGACCACCTCTCTCATTGTCGGACGAGAATCTGGATCCAAAAGCAAACACTCCCATTATCTGCATCTCTTCTTCCGGAAACTTGCTGTCTAGCCGAGGATCCGGCAGCTCAGTTATCACCCGCTTACTGTCCTGCAACCTCGGTGTAGCCTACAGAGAATGTATATCGGTTTTTGTTCTGTCCCGTATCGTGATGAGACATAAAAGTGTTGGATGAATTTGGTACCCAGATGACGAGGCTTTCTTCTCCTTTGTTGTTGCTCGGCTTTTGTATAGGTTTTCTTCCCGTTATAAGCTCAAGCAGAACGACCCCGAAGCTGAAAACATCCGACATCAAGGAGGCGCATCCAGCGATCGCGTATTCGGGAGCAAAGTACCCGAAAGTTCCCTGTATGCTTGCTGGAGAGCTCGAACCGCTGTTCATGCCATCGGTGCTAAGGCATTTAGCCATTCCAAGATCTGTTATCTGCACAGATTTGGCCACAAATTCATCGATCTCTCTTTTTTTAACAAATTCTAATCAATAACTTGCCATAACTGTCTGAATCGATATATATATATATAAAAGCAGTTTTTACTACGTTACTTTTGCATGCCAGTTCCCGTCCAGGAGAATATTCGTGGATTTAACATCTCGGTGCAAGATTCTTGGAGCAGCAGCTTCATGAAGATATTCTAGACCTCTGGCAGCTCCAATGGCAATGGAGATTCGGAGATCCCATGTCATTTTCTCACCGGCATCTCCATCTAAGCAATCCCTCAGGTTACCATTGGGCATGTACTCGAAAACCAGCAGCCTCTCAGCCTGTTTGGCACGAAATTCCGAACAGTATCCGATCAATGGCACCACATGAAAATGATGGAGCCTTGACAATAACTCAACCTGTGAGAAACATCAAGAAAAAACAACTCCATATTGTTTGAGTCACATATATAGATTCAGGGTCATTCCATGATCGATGTCGAAAGGAAAGAAGAAGAAGAAAGAGCTGGCAGTAATAATACTTCGGTGGAGAAAACAGAGTCACTGTCTGGTCCTTCAGGAGCAGTAAGACGTTTGATTGCGGCGATTTTACCGTCTTTGAGCTGCCCACGATAAACACAGCTGCTTCCCCCAATCCCAATCAGGTTGTTATTTGAGAATTTATGCGTTGCTTGTTCTAATTCTGTGTACGAGAACTGGATAATTGTCCCGTACAGTGTTTCTGGTTTGCTCACGCAAAAGAACGAAGCATTATGGAAGCATCCTGCTAGAGAAGAATTTTCTCCTTTGTGTTAAACGTATCAAAGGTAAGAACTTTAAGCAGGATCAAGGAAGAACAAAAGTGGTTCAGAATGACTGACCAGTTACAGAGGGACTGATGCTGAATTTTGGTTGTGATACCGAGCTTTTCCGGGTTATTAAGTTGGCAGAGCTGTTCCAGCTCGAGTCTCTATCCGAAGAGAATACCGGGCTTTGTCCAGGAAATTTGTTCTTTCTACAGATATAGAAAATCATAGATGCGAGGAATGCTATTGTTGTGAGTACGACACAAAACAACAGTACAACCAGAACCAGTTTCCTTGGAAAAGATTGCTTCTTTGAAGATTTTGCCTCGCCGATAGGACCTTGAAAATAATAGGGAAGCGTTTAGACAGGAGCCGGGCTAAAGAATGGAAACATTTTCACTTGGATGGATAGAGAAAAAGCACCAGCAGAGCACTTGCAGGCCGTGAAGCACGAAGAGTTGGAACTGTCAGTGGTTACTCTCGGAAACCCATTTGCAGGACATAAACATGTCCATTCGAGGTTATCTGCTAAAGACACGAGACAGTCATGCCACGAGTTTGGTTGGAAATCTAAAGCCATGTCTGGTCAGAGAAATCGAAATTTCAAAGCCATACCTTGTCTGCAATCACATGATGTGGAACAGTTAGATGCCAAGACAACGCTTTGATTGTGCGACGTAAAGCAAGTGCACGTCCAGTTGCTCAACCCTATGCCAGAAACATCATCTGCATGCTAGAGGCCGATACTAAGCCATCTGGTATATATTACTAGCTTTTACAGAAAATAAAACCATTATACTACTAAAAGTTAAGATGCTGACCACTGAGACATTGCTGAATCAAGATCAGGCCGAAGAGATACACGAGCACGATGTCCACTCTGATCTTCATTTATATTCGCTAGAGGAACTACACCAGAAGAAATAATTGCCAGTTGAAATGATCTTGAATCAGTGTTTGCAGAAGCCAAAAGCTACTAGAAATCTATGAAGATTGCATGGAAGATGGTGTGTATAAGACCTTCATCTCAGTTTTCTTCCGCTGATCCAAATGAGGAACCTGCACCAGAGGGAACAAAGAAAGGGCTTTGAGGACAAGAGATTGATGATAAATTATTACAGGAACTGGGAGACAGAGTGTTCATCAACCTGAAACGATCAAGTTAGATGTAGAATGTCAAGGAGAATCATAATTTTCTTCTCATCCTCAATAAGAATAACGGGAGAGACAAATTTTATAGAAAATATGAGAATCTACAGTGTATCTGGAAAAAAAATGGTAAAGGAATCTATGGTTGGTCAACAGGCATAAAAATGATTCAAACTCTGTTGCACCCACTGGGAACAACAATGGGATCCAAGAGCTTACATATATAATCAAAATATTAAGATTAAGAACATTCAGGATCAGGTCAGACCAAAATAAACATACTTAAAGAGACTTCACAGAATATAAAGGCCCAAAAACAGATAATGAAGAAAAAGAAGAAGAACAAAGAACACCAATCACTGAAACTAGTAGTTAGGATATAAAGAGCATATCCATATATGGGTCACATCAATCATTAAAATGCATTGCCATGAACAATCCTGAGCTTTGTCGTCTTGTTCTGTTGCCTTGAATTCCCTGTTTAGTTATGTCGGCATGGGTGGAGCATTAAAAAAAAACTAAGTTAAACACCAAGAAGTTATGCTCTATGCTCCTGGAGATGGATCCAACACGCTTGAGCTGGTCTTTCTTCAGTTTGACGTGTTGGAAAGTAACACTAATCAGACCAAGAATAACTCAAAAGAACAAAATCAAATTGAAAACGAGAGAAGAACAGGAAAGAACAGAACAATACCCAGTGAGCCTAAAGAGTGGAAGTGTCGGTAAGAGCAAGATGATGAACATAACAGGAGAGGTATGTTGTATTGTCAACAAAAGGAAAATTTGTGGAGAAGGGTATTAAAAGGAAAGAGCATCTGCAGATAGGTGCTTGTAATAATGATAATATTTAAAAAAAAAAAAATCAGATTATAGAATGATTAAGTATGATATATATTATACATAGTCAAATGACAAAATTAATGGAAAGAAACCCACCAACCACTTTCAGAAAGAAACCCCACTGCAGATGTGAGAGAGATCCCTCAACCATATTTTTAGCAGCAAATAGCTAAAATCACGGAGATTAAACCCTAAATTAGTCCCCCCCAAAAGCCCCAAAACAGTTCAGAGTGCTTCATACTGTTCTTCGTATTAAACTCAGAAACACCATCACTTTCTCAAAATGGGTATTGGTTCCATACAGTCAAAGAATCATCTTTCACTCGTTTGAATTCAAAATTACCCTAAACAAGATGTGATTTCTAGAACACAAACCCCAAAATCTTGGAAGTGTTAAAGGACTTGCTATTACCAAAGGGATTCAATGCACACAAATCTCAAAGGAGACGAAGCAAATGGATAAAAGCCAAAAAGAGAAGGGGAAAAGAGACTTAGCTTTAAAGGAAGAGCAACACATACGTAAGAAAAATTGTAACGTTAGGATTTTCGGGACCCACATCTTCCGGTGTCGGCTGTCGGAAACCGGTATCTCGGTGGTGGGACCCGGTGCCATTGACCCACAAATTGGAAAATAAAAGTTCTTCGCACAAATAAACAAAGGAAACAAATCTGCAGAACGGAGACGAGGATGCGTAATGAAGAATCGAAGCTATCTGGGAAACAAACAAAACCCAGTTCATGAATATTCGAATAAACTAATACCCATGACGATAAAATCCCCCCTCGCTATCTCACAACGATATCACGGAGGGAATACAATTAAAAATCCATGCACAAAAAGGTAAAGATTTACTGACCGAAGGATGCGTAGAATCTAAGTTTATAAACAAGACCCAGTTCATGAATCGTGATTATTCCATTCAATTAAACTAGTATCCGTGAAATGGAACATGCTGAATACTATAAAGTTCAGGAAAAACAAAACCCAGAGCTTCGAGAAAACGGCAACCCACCTAAAATGAAGTTTCGGTTGCTGGATCAATCTTCTTCAGCGTAACCCAGAAGCGTTTTAGGTCGTTAGAACTTCCTAGCTTTTTACGCTTCTGTTCATGAAGCCTGACCACACCTTTGCAAGAACTGAGCTTCAACGAAGCAACCAAACCCCGAATCAGGAAGCTCAAACTCAGACGCGGCGTCACAGAAACGTCGCTTTAGATCTTCAGCTCCTCATAAACGCGGATATCTCTCCGTAAGAAACAGAGTGTCCGCAACGAAGAGAGGAAAATGCAAGGCAGCAAACAATGCCAAGCAGAAAGATCAGAAAGAGAAAACGAAACGCCGAAACTGCGTCTGCGTTTGCCTCTGCGTCTGCGTTTTGGAGTGAGACTGAAGATTTCGAGTAGGGCTTTTAAGGTTTGTATCAGATCGGCGAGAGAAGCGCGCTCTGCGCAGCGGCAAGCGTCAGAACGTCACGTGCCACGTGGCGTCATCATGATTTCATTAAGTTGCGATCGATTCCTTACATTTTAATGCTATTCAGTGAGTGTGTGCCCTCGGACGATCTGGACCGTCGGATAATGACACGTGTCATCATGGGTCTCTTGATGCTCGTTGTGGTGGTCCCACTGTCGAGGAGTAATGAGGAAAGTTCAAGCTATTTTTTGTTACTTTCAAAATCCACTACCTACATTTATGTTTCTATCAGATTAGTCCTCAAATGTCAAAACACCAGAATCGGTACTTGCCATGAATTTCTAAATAACGATTATTAGTGCGATCATATTTACATTTTATTTAAAATTATAATATACTAAGCTCTAAAATACACAGAGCATAAAACCACTCAAAAATATGTAATATGTACCATGACAGAGAAAGCTTCAATCCAAAAAAAAAAAGAATTTTCAGATAATTATACAAAAAAAAAGAGAGAGAAAAAGCATCAATCCAGGGTAAAAAGTACCTTTTCAGATAATTATACCAACAAATCTTTGGCTAATAATCAATAACATAAACCATGTCGCCGGTTTAGTCTTAACCACTGTATTCATCCACCAAACCGGAATCATTTGGGCTGTTGCCGTGAATGAAACGACAGCGTTTGGTGCAGCCTTCTTCGCACGTGTGAAGTGGGACTCAAGCTGGGGTTTGTGTTAAGATTAGGGTTAGGGTTTGCAAGTCTCAGTTCTTGAGAATGTCTCACCATATTAGCCATGCTTGTGGTCTGATAAGCCCGAACTCGGCTCGAACCACTCGTGGAATCTCCCCGAGCAGTCGCTCTCTGCGACGAATGCGAGCTCATGCTCGAAAACGCATAGGCTCGGCCAGTTGATTCGTACATTCTCCGGTCCCTCATCCTTTCTTGTAGCGCAAGCAACTCCGCTGACAAGGCCTGACAGAGACTATCCCCGGCCTGAGCAGACACTGTCTCCGATAACTGTTTCTGTCGGTCACCGAGGAGTGACACTGCCCTGTCCAGATGACCTTGATCTGCTAAAACCCTAGCTTCCGACATAGTGTCTGCCACAATGAACCTGTTTCGCTGCCTGTCCACCTCAATGGACACCATTCTCTGTTCTCTGGTTATCTCCCGTGGCCTCTGGATGTTTACTTCTCCTGCTTCGAAACCGATAATCTCTTTCGAAATCGGATCCTTGTAGTCACATCTAACCTTCAGCAACGACGTTGATTCGGATTCGTTCTTTGGGATGTCGAGAATCACAAGAAAGTCCCTTTCTTCCTCTGCATACAAATCTCCAACATCTATCTTGCCAGTTCTTCCATCAGATGCCATATCTGTTCTGTAACTGCCAGCTCTTACAGATGAAATCCGCAAACCCGGATGGATGGATCCGATTTCGACGCTAAGTTCCTGGACCACGACG